GATTGATCTAGGACTGTGGCATCATTGGAACGTAATATTTTCATCAATGCTGGCATTACCATTAGGTGACGCCATTACCTTCTCAGTACCTTCAACGTTCTATTGATCTATATTGGATCAGATGCTTACTCATCTCTTCCACTCAGATCATGTTGTCCAGGTATTTACTTGACACCATAGGATGTATGTCCCAGGTTGTGTTCCAGAAATTGATGAGGTAGAATTGCTCCCACTCATTTATTCCAACACGACCTTATTCTTGGACTGACGTTATTAATATACTTATCCTCCAGGATGATTTCATTTGCGTTAATGAAAACCTTCCTATCTAGAGGACTATAAAAATTATCCCTTGGTATCTTTATGATATCCCACAAACAGGCACTTCTCTAACATAGACTCCAACTTTTCTGTATTCTCTTTCAGCACGTAAGCTGGACCTCCAAATTTTGGTTGTGATGCAAGCAGGGCTTGAATCCATTCCAAAATTTTAGGAAAGTCTTGAAAATAGACTTAGAAGGAACTTAGTCAAAGATATATCAAAATGTTTTCAGTGTATATCCCAAAATGAGATAGGTAGAGTTGTAAAACTCTTCATTGATTTAACCATATCAAACAACGTCATGTGTCTTCTTTCTGAAAAACCATTCTGCTTAGATATATCAGGCTCATTCAATTAAGAAACAATACCATTTTCTGTTAAGTTGTCCTTGAATTCTCATGAGAGGTATTCACTATCTCGATCAGATCGAAGTGTGTTAATACTCTTACCCCAATGTTTCCCGACCTTAGTCTTATACTCTTTTGATTTCTCAAAAGTATTTGACTTTCAAGACATTAGGTAATTGTATCTGAATCAAGAGTAATCATCTGTAAAGAAATACTCATATTTCCCATTCTCAAGTGTATTCATAGGTCCACACATATTAGAATGCACTAGTTCCAATACATCTTTGGCTCTATCCTTTTATCGAAAAAAAATGTCTTGATCATATTGCCTTCCAAACAAAACTCACAAACTGTCAATGGTTCGATCTTAACGAGCTGAGAGAACCATCTCTAGTCAGTTTATATTCTGTCAAGGTTGATTTGTTCAAGACGCCATAGATATGTATCACTAGTATGGTGCGACATTTTATGGTTTATAAGAGTAACCTTTTATTTCATACGTGGAATAATTTAAAATATAAAGACCATTAATCAAATGTCCAGCGCAAATAGGGACTTTATTCATTAAAATGCTAAGCGCATCAAACGCGGATTTTATAGAATAATTCTGTCCTATTAAATCGAAAATAGAAAACAAATTTCTGCTTCATTCGCGAGACATATAATAGTCCTTAACAATTAAACACCTACCACAATTGAGATAAAACACTCCTATGCTCTTGCTAAAACTCTTGCTCTTGTGCCAACGGTAATATTAAACTGTCATTCACTGAGTTTTCGCTTTCCTGAAGCATCCGCGTCAACAAGCATATATAATTAGTGGTTTCAAAAAATACAACTTAGAAATTTGTAATATCAACCGCTAAACAATACTCAGTAACAAAAAACCCCACTCGCACTTTGCTTTCTAGCTAGTGCATCTGGGCAGTCTTTCTCCAGTGTCCTTTTTGACCGCAGTTGGAACACTTGCTTTTTGGCTTTCCATCTACTTTTAATCTTTTGTTGCTCTCATGCTTATTGATAGCTTTCTTCCTCTTCTGTCCAAATCTGCCTTTTGGCTTGGAACTAGTGGAGCCACCAAATGATGCATGAGCATCCCTATTGCACCATTAAGATCACTTTCCACATCACACCTCTATCATCAACTTAGTCAATGGTATCTTCATCTTGTGCAATTGATAATCCATAGTAAACTATGAAAAATTATCAAGTAAAAAGTCCAATACTATGTCATAAACTTAGTATCCCTGATAGATGTTGCATCCAGACTCACTGCCATATTTGAAGTATGTCATCATAGTCAAACTATGAAACTTCATAAACACACTGGATTTCATGTGGATGTTCTAAAATGTACAAATGAATCCAAAAGAACATTCCTACTTGATGACCAAACATACCCTAAAAGGTCTCTAGTATGTAATGGAAGGTACTTTGATTTTCAAGTCTTTGTTGTAACACATTTGACATCGAAATCAAAATGAAACAACTAAACATCTTGTCTACAGTCTCCCACTCAACATACCCAGCCTTTTGGACTTGTCACGTGGCCTTAGTAGGTCCAACAGGACATCCGTTAAGCACAAAATTAAGTTTTTCCACATTGAGCAATTACGTTTCCAATCCACATAATTTTTCCCGATTAGTTGGCTTTGTTTTAAAGTAACGGAAAAATTGGTCAAGTGATATTTCGCATAAAAATAATCATACATTGCATATTAAAATTGAGCAGCAAATAAGAATTTAGCATATGATGCATGAGTGCACATGTAGATCCATCTAACTACAAAAATGCAACGATGACTAGATCCTCGTGATCCAACATGCCTCTCTATAGGAAAGGTCAATGTGTCCACTGATCAAGTTGAGACCCTCCCACTAGACAAAATATATCTGACAACAAATGTCTACATTAAGCCTAGCATCGTTTTATTTGGTCACCAAGGTTATAAACGAGAGCCTCTATAGGAGGTTCGAAGATGATCTCGATTTGAGTGTATAACCTTTGTCCAGATCTCAAGATACTTGAAAATAATTTCGCCATCTATAGGATGATCACAAATTATATTCTTATCTAGACAATCTTATCGTGAAGGAATCCAATCAAGCAACTTGAACCACGCGGCCCTCCTATAGGGAGTCCGTTGCATTTTCGGCACGAGGCAAGCGCGTTACTTTGCTTATAGACTGACCAAAGGAGACCGTGAATTTTTATTTGAATAAACACCCGCTCCCACTCAATATTTTTTAAGTGATGGATTTTCATAATAAATAATTACCAACTGTTCACATTAATTAAATTAATATAAAGTATAATTATTACGAATTTTCCATCCAGAAAAATTTAATCCAAATTAAATTGATCAAGGAAAACTTAAATAATTATATTCTGTTCATATTAATTAAATTAATATACAGTCTAATTATTATGATTTTTCAGTCCAGAAAAATTTAATCTAAATTGAATCGATCAAGGAAAACTAAAATAATAATCAACCGTTCACATTAATCAAATTAATATACGGTTTAATTACTAACAATTTTCCTTTCAGAAAGATTTAATTTAATTAAATAAATCAAAGAAAAATCGGTGTTAAATGATATGCATCATATTCATAGTATCACGAGCGATGTCACAAATAAATCTATATGTCATGATATCTAGAATGATAATATTTCAAACAATAATTTAAAACATTCATGAAGCGATAAAAATAACAATTATTTGTGGCTCACGACTCAAGAATTAAATTAAAAACTAATTGAATCTAAACCCAATATTTAATCTAAATCTTGAACTCCAAAAACTTCGAGCATCCAATAGCAGCAACCCAAAACAGCAACTGAACCTCATCAGCTCGCCACCATACAGATCCGATACCAAAGTAACAGTCAAAATGGCAGTACGGATTTAACGCCATCAATTAAATCAATTAGCATTGAATGGCATTACTGTAATTAACGCCATCAATTAAATCAATTAGCATTGAATACTGTAATTAACGAAAAAAAGGAAGTTTACGTCAGATCACAGATGCAAGTTTTGATAATTCAATTGCAAAGTACACATTCTGCAAACTCCAGGCAGGCGGTCACTCTTCAATTGTCTCCTTGGCTTCATAATTAATACATCTATATGAAAAACAATTAATCTTCTCAAACAGGGTGATCGACACCCTGTTGACAGGGATTTAAATTTTCCTCCATGTAAAATCAGTTTTTGGAGGGAAAAGGGAAGTGCACACACGTGGGACTGAGAAAGCAAACAAATAAAATAATAAATTTCAGACAACTGAGAAAAAGGAAGCTGTGCACGTGATGGAGAGAGAAAATTTCTGAATTCTTGGTTTTGACCATTTACACCAATTTGAACGACGGTCGTTCGGCGTTATCTTCTTCCTATGCAAAGCAACGAAGCCGAGAAGAACACATGCGTTTACAAACCGGTTCAATCAGTCTTTGTTCCAAGTAAACAATCTTTGTCCCATTGTCAAGGCCGACGTCGATATCGTCCCGTTCAGAAATCCGGCCAGCCAACTAAAGAATTAATCGAAACCCGATTTCTTTGTCTTCGCCATTGGAGCGAGCCATTGTGTCTATGTTTTCCAACAGTTAATTAGTAAGTTTCACTTCTTTAATTAGTAGGATTTTTTATTGTTATTATAGCTTGTGGGGTTGACATTAATGTGCACCAATTTAACTAGACAAACAGCATTGAATGTTCAATTAATATGCAGTAACAGTTTGGGGAAAACTTTAACAATTTTAGGACCAATAAGGCATTACTTATTTATCATTCTGAAGCTTTGCAACCTTATGATCGAACTGAGCTTGTGGGCAATTTTATTTAGTTTATTGTGGACCAATTTAAACACTGGCTAATGTAATAGATTGCCATTATATTGAAATTATAAGATTGAACAGTGTGTGTTACCAAATCACGTCTTTTTGTTGTAGCTTTATGTTGCACCAATGAATGCCCAGCTTTTGTGGTAAGCTCGTGATAGAAGCCAACTTTTGTGAACTCTATTTGCAAAAAAGCTATAATCTTATAGCTTTTTGTCCAATCTTTCCATGTCATTGATGATGGTTGTGTAAATTAGTATGGTCACTTTCTGGAGTTTCGATTCAGCAGATGGTCTAAAATGGGGATCACAAAAGAAATTGTGCAACATTATTACGATTCTGCAGTGCAGCAATCACATGCTGTTACCGTATTTTCAATTTTATTTAGTTTATTATGGACCATTTTAAACACTGGTTAATGTATCAAATGAGCTATGTAATAGATTACCATTATATTGAAATTATTAGACAAGCAAAGGCACTCTATGGGAATGAAAACTGTGATTGATAATAACCTTATAATATTGTTATTGTGGATTATTGAACGTGTGCTATCTTATCATATTGCAGGGGAAGAAATTATGGATGAAGTGCAAGGTGAAGATGATGGTGTTTTGGCAGCATCTGACCATGAGAATTGTGTGGACTCCGCTAACATAGTGGAAAGTGAAACCTCTTTAGAAGATGATTTGATAGTGCCGGAGGTGGGTATGGAGTTTAAAAATTTGAAAGATATGTTTGACATGTACAAGAAATATGCGTATGCTGTTGGTTTTTCGGTTAAGAAAAGAAATTCGAAAAGGGGAGATGATGGAGAGTTGAGATATGTGACAGTGACATGTAGTCGAGAAGATCGAAGAAACGAAAATATTGATGGATCTTCGAAGCCGCAACCAACAATACAGATGGGTTGTAAAGCGAGAATCTCTGCTTCTGTAGATATTTATGGTGTTTGGAGACTTAATACTGTCAACCCTGACCACAATCATGAAACTAGCCCTTCGAAGTCCAGGTTATTTCGCTGCAATAGAGAATTGAGTACACATGTAAAGCGCAAGCTACAAGTCAATGATTTTGTAGGAATTCCATTGCATAAAAGTTACAATTCAGCTGTTGTCGAAGCAGGTGGTTATGAGAACATGAGTTGCGTGGAAAAGGATTGTCGAAATTACATTGAAAAAGTGAGACGATTAAGACTTAGGAAAGGGGACGCCGTCGCAATACAAACATACTTTTCAAAAATGCAAGCACAGTGCTCGGGCTTTTTCTTTAGTATGGATCTGGACGATGATTCTCGATTGAAGAACATATTTTGGGCAGATAATCGCTGTAGACAAGCGTATAAGGAATTCGGCGATGTTGTTACATTTGATACCACTTACTTGACAAACAAGTACGACATGCCATTCGTCCTTTTTGTTGGCGTTAATCATCACGGACAATCCACACTGTTGGGTTGTGGATTGGTATCGAATGAAGACACAGAAACTTTTGTGTGGTTGTTTAGAACATGGCTCCAGTGTATGCATGGACAAGCACCGCAGGGGATAATTACCGATCAGGACAGGGCAATGCAAAATGCAATTCAAATAGTTTTCCTGAACACAGGACATAGATGGTGTTTGTGGCACATTCTGAAAAAGTTGCCTGAGAAGTTTGGACACCACGAAAATAAGGCATCAATATTTGGAGCGATACACAGATTGGTATACGATTCACAGTTTGTCCAGGAGTTCGAAGAAGGTTGGGCTGGTATGATTGATACGTATGGCTTGCATAAGAACGATTGGTTGTCCGAACTATATGCAAACAGAGCTCGCTGGGTTCCTTGTTTTCTGAAGACTATTTTCTGGGCAGGGATGTCAACGACACAGAGAAGTGAGAGTATGAATGCATTCTTTGATGGGTATGTGCATTCGAAGACGTCATTAAAGCAATTTGTCGAACAGTATGAGCGAGCACTGCGCAGTAAAGTTGAAAAAGAGTTCCAAGCTGATTTCAAATCATTTGCGCAAACATTACCGTGTGCTACAGATTATGAAATGGAGCAGCAGTTTCAATCAGTTTACACTATTTCTAAATTCAAGGAGGCTCAGGCTGAGTTTACGGGAAAGGTTTACTGCGACCTCATCTCTACTTCGGAGAGACCCTCAGGGACGATGTATGAGGTTCGGCAGGACATTATGGGCGATGGGATAAGGAGGAAGAAAACATTCGTAGTCTCATTTGATAGACAAAATTATGATATTGTTTGCAGCTACCATTTGTTCGAGTTTAGGGAGATAATTTGTAGGCATGCTATTGCAGTACTGATTCGTTGTGACGTCACATTACTTCCCGAGAGGTACATACTGCGAAGGTGGAGGAAAGACGTTAGTAGAGCACACACTAGGGTCGCAGTCAATTATGATGGTTTGGTTAGTACTCCTGAGCAGTTGAGGTACAACGACATGTGCCGTGCTTTTGAAGAAGTAGCGGACCTCGCGGCAGACGATGAGGGTCGAGCACGTGTGATTATGGAATGGATAAAACTTCAGCGTCAAGAACTCATGATGTCTAAGAAGTCGGGTACAGGAAGCAATGCTATATCCAAACATTCTTTTGACAATACGGACCAATTCAATGATTTTCAACATCATGATAGTGTGACTATACGTGATCCAGTGGGGTCGCGCACAAAAGGGGCCCCCAAGAAACTTCGAAGAAAAGGTCCGTTGGAGTCAAGTTCGAAGAAAGGCAAGGTATGTTCGAAGCTTGGAATCTAAAATTCAAATGTCTCTAATAATTAATACTGATCACATCTTATGCATATTTAGGGAAGCTCAGCACCAAACAAAGGAAAACGACCAAGCACAAGGCAAAGGGATATAGCTAAGAGTGTGGTCGACATTCAGCATGCTCAAACACAACAACATTCAGTGCAGACGCCGACCTCATATTTACCGTACCCCAGGTCGACGACATTCCCCTTAACACAATATTCCATCACGACACCATTCTCCCTTTCAAGTGTGCTGCCGTCTTCAAATTTCGTCCCCTCTTCATCAACAAACATTATGTATAGTTCACAAGGTAAGAACAAAGTATGACATTCAACTTCCGATGTATATTTCTTTCATGAATGCAGCTCTCAATTTTCTCAATGTATTGTAGGTCAAGCAATGCCATACTACTTTTCGCATTTACCTGACCAAGGTGGCTCAGGCAAGTGAGGGGTCATGTAATGCCATAATGATAAAGGTTTGGGCTTCCAAATATTTTTTTGAAGGTCGATGCCAAGCTTTTTTTGATGGGTTGAAACTTGCATAAGTTATTAACAATGGATGCTACTGTATGAAGTTTTGGGGTGTTTGCTATTCAGATTCACCACTATTATTTCTGTGTAAATTATGTGCGTGAGATGGAAAGACTTGAACTTGTATGTGATTTTGTTTGTCATGTGCTAAGCAAGTAATAGTGATTTCATATGTCCATAAGACATCTGCCAATGTTTTGATTGATTTATTGCTTTATTCAACAGAATTCTTGCAATGATATTCTGGGTTCTAGGGAAGGTTTCGTCTAATCGAATTAAGTTCTTGCAATTTATCAGAGCATGACATTACCTGTAATTATTTAATCATATCCCATATTGCAAGCAAAAAAAAAAAAAAAAGAATAGATGGTACAGGTTTTATTCAAAAGGTCTTGATTTTCCCCATTTCCATTATTCTATTTCTTGTCAAAGCTTGCTTGATGCTTTAAAGAGGATTAAACCTTAGTCAGGTAATAAGATTAGATTTTCTTATCGATCAAACAACAAGAATTTTGTGGACTAGCTATCTGTAAAACTGTCACTAGGCAGTAAAGAGTTCGTGAGTTCATTGTGAAGGAAATTCAGGGTGAAGAAGGAAAGAATTTCATGGAGGGAAGAGGCTACTCAGAATTTTACAGAAACACAAGTGAAGAGATGTTTATAAAAACCATGATGGAAAGCTCTATCGGGATGCCAGCTCCAACCATGGAGATGTTGGGATTCAAGAATTTTAGTCAGAATTTTGTCTTTGCATACTCTATAATGTATACACAGTTTAAGGCTCATCTGATGATGTTCTACAGTCCGGCTACATCGTCTAATTAAATCTAAAAGATAAAAAGTTGTTTGGTCTTTGTTTTTGCCTTCGTTTACAATCCCTTATATCATTGCTATATATTTAGGCTGGAAAGATAGGGTATGAAGCAGAGTATCTATCAAATTTGAACCAAGGTTAATCTTAGCTGGAGGGTTTTTTCAACTGGATCTGCCGTTTATTCCATTTTACTTTTAGTATTCCCCTTCCATTTTCTATCACAACTAACAAACTTCTTAAATCAGAACAATGGTTGCCACTCATCAAGCATTATGCATCGTTCTCGACAAGCACCACGAAGGTTGACCTAATTATAAGTATATCCATATAGAGGCCAGCCTTATAATTAGTTTTAAGTAGCAGTGGTTTAACTTGTAAGTAAATTTTGAATACATGCAAGGCTACAAAATATGCAATGTACCCATTGACATTCGAATAGTTTAAGTGGATTCAATCATAATAATCCTACACATACAAAAGTGCATGTCATAATTCATTCGACTCATAACTACTAATCAAGTCGACCCCTTTCCCCGTGCATTCGACTCTGCACTATCATCTGCCTTGCATATCATCATGTTCACTGAAATCCGAAGGTCTACTTCATCATTGAGGCGAATGCGAGATTGGAACATGCATGATATATCGTCTACTCTTTCATTTGCCGCATCATTAACTGAGCCATTTGTGCCGCTAGAGGATTGATCGCTTGACTTTTCTTTGACAACTCATTCCCAAAAACCACAATTGGCACTGCAGCAAAGAAATAAACGACCTTTATTGACAGTCTCCTTTTTGACGACGAAGCACTTCTCGAATCCATGCTTGCATGATGGACATCGGCGTTTCTTTGGGCATTCGGCAAAAAAGTGGCTTTTAGATCTACAACTATAACAAATTCCAGAATTTCTTCCAACCATTCTAAGATGGGAATAAATGATAGAATTAGTATAACTAAACCCGAAATGAGCGATAAAAAAAATTGTAACCAAATACATGGATAGTAACAAAAACATGCGTGACAAGAGACACCAACTTGTATTTTACACCAACGTGACAAGAGACACCAACTTGTAATTTATACAGACGTGAGAAGAGACACCAAATTGTCGATGAGTGTAACTTGACATTAAATGAACTTGGACAAAGCCTTTAAAAATAAATAAATAAATAACAAACTTTTTGTATAAACTTGTCTCAACCATCACCTAATTCTTTGCAAATCTGCAAATTCCAACAGCTCACACAATTTTGAAAAATTTAGACGTTCATAATTCTCTCATTTAATACTCATTTCGAGCTTACCGCCCAATTTCCATCCCCATAAAGCAACTAGCAGAAACATTAAACACTCATAATTTGAAGACATGCCATTTCTTTCCCCCCTTAAACTATAAAATTCAAGAAAAGTCTTCTAACATAGATGAATTAGCACACATACAGGAAAATATTGGAAAATGGAAAATTTTGGTGTTTCAACTATTGATTCTACAAATTTTTTTTAGCACATACGTTTATGCATCAAAGTTGGTTTTTCTACCTGTGCAAAGCCTAAAAATTGAAATTGCAGTGAGAGACGGAATTCTAGTGCTGACTTTGCTACCGGCCGGAGATGGTCATGCGTTTGGCGACGAAATGATGGATGCAGGAGCAGTCGGAGTGGAGGCGAAAACCATTGATGGAAAGAGTCGAGTTCCTTGGGTGAAACCTACTGTTTGGCCGGAGAATAATAGAAGATTAATTGGGGCAAAAGGAGTGGACGGTGGAGGATGAAATGAGGGAAATGGGAAGGAGAGTTGGTCAAAAGGCGCTGCAAAAAAAGTCTTTAATTTGTCATAATTTGTCCTTCTCTTTTTACTTTTCAGCCCTTATTTGTCCTTTTCTTTTTCTTTTTTTCATTTTTTTGGCCACCTCAGTCGGGATTTCATCTGGATACAATCTGTCCGTGTAGCGCGATTGTAAAAAAAAAAAGCACGTGAACGATTTAGATTGCTCTGATACCAGTTGTTGGAATGCGGTAGCGGAATTAGTCAGAAATTAAAAATTTCTTTAATTCAAAAACAAAATCTTCTAGATGTTCACGTGCATATTATATCAAATATAATGAATTCGAATTTTTACCTAAATTCGACGATCAATTCTTGAATTAATTCTGAATCACGAATTTTCAGCCTTTTGGATCACGAACTTCCAGCTTTTTAATTCCAAGAACTTGATACTTCCAACCTCCAAGTCTTCTGTGGCATTCTCCAAAGTCAAGATTGCACCGGTGGGTGGGCACCTTCTTTTAATTAAATCAAGAAACCAATTCTTGAACCGAACAGTTGAAAATTCAAGAAAAACAAATTTTTCTCTCTATTTTTCTCTCTCCAAAAATTGAACACCATGGAATTATGAATGTTGTACAATTCTATTCCTTTGGATATCTAGGATCCATATAATATTTATATATAGAGACCAAAGAGTTCCAATCCTTATACAACAATAATTCCACATTCAAATAGGAGTTCTAGTCCAAATCCAATTAGTTTACATTTAATTACATGTGTAGTCCTCGAACTTTAATTACAATTATAATTAAGTTTACAACTTTCCTAGTAATTACAACTAAGTACAAAACTTTATTGTAATTACAATTAAGCCCAAAACTATTATAATTACCGTAATTAAGTTCCAATACTTCATGGAGCTACCACAGGGACCTGATCGGACATATATTTTCCAAGCTCCAATAATTAGATTCTGTCCAGTCGACCCTAGACCACTCAATCTAATTATTAGCCTCTACTTTTTCCACTAAAGGCAAAAGACTGAACTCTCGGAATATATAAGATCACAGAAGCCAATAAATCTGTAATACTTTCCTCTGACCTGTTGTATATGTATTTTATCCCCGTCTGAGATTCGATAATTAGGTACGAGCATAAATGACCGTTTTGCCCCTCTAATTATTCTCGCTAACTTAAATTTAATTTTCTTCAACGGTCCTGTGAACTAATCACAGATGTCGAAATTTAGCCGTCGCTAAACACTAAACTCAGATTTTAACCGTTCAACAGAAAATACTTAAGTAGTCACTCCACCCATTTTTCAGGGTGACGGTTCCCGACATGAATTCATGTTCTCTTCTCCATTCATTCTCAAGTTCCCAATTTATCGAGATATTTGACCAATCAAATTGATCTCACCCATTGATGAATCAAAGAACAATTAAAATCACGAAAAGATATACATAATCCTGTCAAGGGATTTAGATGAAATACACAGCGGTGTAGTGGAATTTAATTCTCCGCACGGTCATGCTATAGAATTAAATTCGACACGCGGTCCGTTCAATACACTCCAAGTGTACTAGTGTCACCTTTAACTATTTCTGTAATAAGGACAAATCACAAACCCAAATAGTGACTTGGTCAACACTACAACCTTCCAGTACAAGGTGCCAACCCTTATACATTGGTTGTGAACAAATTATTTATGACCAAAATATAAGTTGTGTCATACTGTACTTTTCAGCGTAAGTACCCAACTTATATTATCTCAAGTGATCGTATGCACTTTAATTTGCATACTCAATAATGAATAATGCAACAAATAAATAAAACCACAATTTATTTATAATAAATGATTATTTTATCATAACAAAATATACTATA